AGCACATTGTAGTTTGAAAATCTACTCAATCATGGCAACAAAAATTGATTAGTATAAGGATGACATTCCCATAAACAGATAGTTTTTCTAATATACAATGTTGTAATATGGAGATATGAAAGTAAAATGCTATAATAGAAAAATAAAAAATTTAAGTATATTGATATTTCTTGCATCAAAAAATTAAGAACCACAACAAAAAATTATGTAATTCACCATTTTAAAGAGCATTTTTTTTTTTTGCAAAAGAATAGATTCACAATTCCCCAACACATCTGTATCTACCTCTCAAGATTATCTAATACAGTTCATGGAAAGGTTCAACTTCCAATGCATGAGGTACAACTTACTATAACATCAATGCTCTAGATTTTTACCAATTCTAGTCCCCTCGAAAAAAGCAACTATATTCTTATAAGCTTCACTCCATATATCTCATGGAAGTGTTGTATTGATCCTATTCAGCAAGTTCATCCCAAATATGGAATAAAAGGACAAATTGGTCTTTTTTTTTTTTTTTGCTTTTTCCACAATAAATGGTATGAAAAATACTTAAAGCTCATCGTGACCTTGTGGTTCCATTTTCACTGCTTCTAGTTTATCTTGTAGCTTCCGAAACATTCTATACAATCTTTCTCAGGTTATTCTTTTACAATGAGAAGGGCATTTTGTCTTTTCATAGACAAAATGATGAAAAACATGTGTACCTTGAGTCTTCCGAGTTCTACAACTCAAGGATTGGTGTAATTTGTTTACAATAACAAACCAATAGGTATGTAACTCTATACTTTGTAATTTTCGAATTACACTAGGGTTATGCTAGGTTTAGTTGTTCATTGTATGTTGCAATCAAGGTGTATCACATAGATCTTTTATAGGATGCATGTATCCTATTAATAGTTAATTGTTTTCCGCATTGTACAAATTTGTTTTATATAAAACTCATCAGTATTGGTGTGACACTCCCTACCTAGTAGCTAAAACCCTAATTTATCAGGCTTTAGTCCCTATTTGAAGCATTTAACTCTAGGGCTTTGTCGTTTTCAACCTCCATCCTTTATTATGTTAGAAAGCAAACCCTAACCCCCCCCTCCCCTTTTTGTGCCTCTTTGAAGATTTTGTGCTCTTGGATTGATTTTGAATAAGAAAAAGGTGATCTGAGTAGGGGTGTTGATCGAGTATAACATTCGAGTTTCGAGTAGGATAGACCAGGTATTGTCTAATAAAAAATAGTTGATAACCAAACTGAATAAAAACTCGGGTAATCAATTACAGATAATTCGAGTATTAAATCGATTTGGGTATTTTGAGTATTGCCTAAAAAAACATTTAAACTTTTGTTTTAGTTTAATAATTTACGTTGATAAAATATATCAATTTTGTGCAAATTTGCGGAAGCCTAACCAATAATTAAGATGAAAATTTAGAAGAAATCTAACAAGGAATGATAAAAAAAATGTTTCTTTAATTTGTGTTTATGCGAGATAAAGAGAAAGTAAAAAAGAAATGAAATTTTGTCAAAAACTCTTACTATATGTGTATCTTCTTTAGATGACAGACATATTTATTTTTGAGTAAATTACACGAATGGATCCCATGGTTTAGAGTAATTTGCATGTTTGGTTCTTAACTTTTTTTTTTTTTTTTTTTTATCTCAGAAGGTCCTTTCTATTTGTTTTTGTTAAGTGTTTGGTCCCTACTGTTTATTTTTATTATGCGTTTGATCACTGTCTTACCTAAAAAGACTATTATTTAAACAGGGAAAATGGTGTGGCTGGTATGGTAAGTTGATAAGGGTCGGATTAGAGTGTGTTTACTTAAATAAATTAAAAATCAATGGCAAAATAGTCCTTTTAGGTAAGACAAGGGACCAAGCGCGTAATAAAAACAAATAGTAGGAACCTTCCGAGTTAAAAAAACAAGTTAGGGACCAAACACCTAAATTACCCTAAACCATAGGACCATTCGTATAATTTACTCTTTATTTTTCCAATTTAGACTATTAACCCTTAAATTTTAGTCTTATTTACGAACTATATCATAGAAACTAGGGGTGACAATCATCGACCCAAATCATAACCCGATACTAACCCAACACGAAAATAAATGGATTTGGGTTGAGATTTTTGACCCGCCAACCCACCAACCCACTAACCCGCAAACCCGTTTATTTCATTGGTTGGGTTTGGTTAACTGTTTGGGTTCACGGGTCAACCCGCCAACCCGATTATATATATATATATATATATATATATATATATATATATATATATATATAATGTTTAAAAAATATATTTAATTATTTATCAGTTTTGAATATTTGATCGTCGTTTAATCACTTTCCAAATTCCAAACCTGCAAAACATCTTCGAATAGCCCCTAATAAAAAAGAAATTTGGTCTTTAGTCTCCAAATTCATGACTCCGTGTATCCTGTCTTCGTCGATTGAGGCATCAAGTCATCGACTATCGTAGTCTCGCACGCACACCACTCGTCTTCTCGTCCTTCGGTTGTTGCACACCATTCATCGTCGGCACTCCCGTTTATGACTTTATGTTGAATATTTAAGACTTTTTGACTTCATTTTATTTGTATTTTTTAATTTCATTTTAAAATGTGTTGCCTATTAAATGAGTTATACGGGTTGCTTTCAACCCACTGACCCAACAACCCATATATATATATATATATATATATATATATATATATATATATATATATATGTGTGTGTGTGTGTGTGTGTGTGTGTGTGTGTGTGTGTGTTATATGGGTTGGGTTGGGTTGATGTTTTCAACTCGCCAACCCACCAACCCATATATTATATAGGTTGGGTTGGGTCAATGTGTTCTGACCTGACAACCCGTCAACCCGAACCCAACCCAATTTAATTAAAAACTATACTGTAGGGACTAATTATGTAACTATATTTTCATCTGACAATAGAAACCTAGTAACACATGAAGGAAATATGTATGCACAACTCATATGTGTTCTGTTTATTCGGTTTATTTATTTATTTCATTATTTATTTACAAAAAGAATACAAATTCAATAGTTATTATAGATAGTTTATTAGTCTTTTTTAAATTAGGTATTTGGGTATACCCGAAATTTTTTATACGTCTACCAGATACCCAAACTAATTAAATATCAGGTGAATACCTTAAATTTCATACCCGATACCTAATCAACCCGATTTCTGAACGGGTCGGACGGGTAGTTTGGGTTTCGATTATTTTCAATGGGCCTAGATTTGAGTACAAGGAGTTTGGATCCATGCAAGTTTAAACATTCTCCTATTGCTCCAGGCCATTATAAATCATCAAGTTCCACATTTTATGACTTATTGTTGGTAGATCTTTGTTTTTATCATTATTTGGTCTATTTTGCTCTTATACCTTGGATTTTGGAAAACTCCATGTCCCAAGCTTGTGTGTTGGACTTTTTGTTGCGATTGAAATGCTTTAACGAGTCCCCTTGTCCCATGCAAGTTGGTTTTTGAACTTTTGAACTTATTTCGGATCTAGGGTTTTAGTTTTGGCTTGTTTATGGCATGTGCATAGACAAAGTTTGAAATTTTATCCATTAAGACATTTATTTGATATGGATTTGAAAGTATTAGCCTTTGTCTTTACAGATTAAGAGGTTTAGAAAAAATTAAGACATTAGGGAATGATGTGTTTGATGAGTGTCATGATGCGTTTTCTGCACCAAACACAACTATTTTGCCGTGAAGTGTAGCACGACGCATTTGTTCAAAGGTCACAACACGTCTGACTGTAGATCATTGACCGTTGACTTTTTAACCTGTTTAATTTTTGATCAAATGTTGAGGAATTGAATTTGTAGACTAAAATTTGACCTCTAATTGCTATCTAGGTGGTTCGTGAGACCAATTCATGCAAGTGTGCATGTGTAGTGATTCTTCAACTTTCGATTCAACATTATATGCTTGGTTTGGTTGCGGTGAAGCGGAATTAACAAAAGAGAAAAGAAAACACCAATGATTGGGGTGGAAACCCTTGAAAAAAAAAACCATAAGGCACACAACTTGTTATATTAAAACTGATTACGGTATAAAGGAGTTACGAACCACTATAGAGGGTAAAGTTATAACCACCTACATATACGCTAGTAACAAGAACTATAATATAAAGCTAATAACTAATAATAACTTTTTTTAGAAAGGATAAAACACACCTCTATATTACTCTCAAGGGAGATTTGAACAATCAATCATTAGCTAGGCTTGAGAGGCACCAACCTATAGTCCGCTAAATAGATGGTAAATTAATTTCCAAATCCTAATAACTAGGAAAAGGAAACAATCCCATAACAACCCTACGGGGAAATTGAGATCATGCATCAACAATATTCATATTAGCATGTTGAAAAATAATTTCAATTCAATGTAACAGCATTAATTTATTTTACCAAAAAATATAAGAGTGGTGTTTGTATAGAAAAAGTAAGACACAATATTTTCGTAGAAGAACACGATGTAGTAATTTGTAGGTATCAATCAATGCTCACCCTTCTTTTTTAATGTTTGCCTTTTTTTACTCAACACATGTGACTTGAATTGTACCCAAACTAATTCCATTTCATTTAAGTGGTCTTCTTTCATCAATTCCTCTCAATTGAGGTTGGCACATGGACGATCTTTTGATTTTCTTTTTCCTTTCATTAATTTGGCAATTGGCATTGCTAAAATCGTTCTAACTTTTGCAAGAAAATTTGTCGAACATAACCCAAATTTGGATAATCGGTGTCGCATTAAAATGATGTCTTTTACTTGCCTTTTATTCATTAATATGAGTAAATCATTTTATAATAATTGTTGTTATTCCTAGTCATTTTTATTTACGGGTTAATCTAAAATATATAATTCGACGTCATATCTTTAGACTGTATAACAAATTTGAACCAGCTGAACGGGCTCAACAGCTATCTGATGTTTGGTTTTGTTACTTTTTCCAGTTTAAAAAACAACCAATGACATATATTTCGTCTCATCACTACAATTTGTTTTTTGCTACAACTTACAAATAAATAATTCAAAATTATATAAACATTGTGATATCAAGGTCTCGTGCATAATATGAATTAATATATAACTTATCGTAGTATCTCCTTCAAGTTCCAAAAGTGCAAATACTCCTAGCAGTAACATAAATTGGATAATAAAATTTTATAAAACTGAAAGCCTGGCAATTCAGGTGTACAAAAGTGTCATTACTTAGTATATAAATATAATATTGAAGAAAGAAAGTGAGATATTTAATGAAAAAAAAAACTTATTTAGTTACCATTTTTTCTTGCTCGATGATCTTCTCTCTACCAACTTGATATAAAGGAGATGAGATGGGAGAAGAAAACGTGGAAGCAGCTGAAGTGAAAGAAACTATAGAATGATCAGAACAGGAAACACAATCACCAGAAATCCCAGCAAGCAAATCAACAAAAGCTCCAACAATGAACTGATGATTGTTCTTCCCATTCGTTCTCAAATACCATCCCAACAACTCCTCCAAACAATCCCAATCTTTCAAATCATGAGTCTCCACCATCTCCTTCATCGACTTCTTAAAATCCCCGTAAGGATTCTCAGATTCCATCTCCATCGCCACACTCTCTTTATATGGCAAAACACGACCATCACTAGCACCGATATCTACAGGCGTACATTGCCTACTACTCCCTTGAGTTTCAAGTATCGAACTTGTGGGATCGGGTTCAAAAAACAACCGTTCAGACTTGACCCCACGTACAACCGTCTCCATGGAGGAGCACTCATTGTTCTCAAAGTACTTTTCTGACTCCGTCGACATGCTGGCAGATTCTGATGAGTTGGTGAAGTAGGAACCAAGCGTTGTCAGCTCAACTTCTGCCTCAGCCAACGACTCCTTAGGATCCATAAACACCGAATTATCTGTGGTCGCTCGGAAAGAGAGGGTTTTTGGCTGCTTGCAGGAAGGCCATAGCCATATTTCTTTGTGCTTGTTGAGTAACAACAGAGAAGGGATGAGATTCATGTTCTTCCCCATTTAGTCAAGTGAAGTGTTTGAAATACTTGAGTGAATACTCCTCAGACATAAGTGCTGTCCTCCATAGTTCGGTCTGGTATTAATGGGGCTGGTAGGGACTGTCTTATGTGTAGTTAATGCTAGTGGTATGTAAAATTAGTTGTTTGTTTAGACAGGTGACTTTCATACAATATTTATAGTCTACCACGTTTATTTTTTCTGGCTTATTATATAAATTTAATAAAAAGATATTTAATTAATTTAATTAAAATCGATCACATAGCTAAAAACGATAATTAAATTAAAACACTACATTGTAAAACTAATTGTAATAGTTTTTTCATGATTCCCGCTCTAACACATTAACAAAACATATCAAACTCATTTCCAGAGAGATGATCGATAGGGTTTATTAAAAATTTCATATCGTGAGTTTTTTACTTCTCCTCTCGAGCTTTCTTTTCTCCTTCGATTTCTCATTTTCAAAATTCAAACGACTTTCAAAATTCAAATAATAAATCTCAAAATTATTAGCAACCTTTTGAATATCATCTCCTCTACCGATTCTCGATGTATTAGCAACAACTCAAAAACTACAATTGGTGCTTTTCTTTTTCCTTATCTTTTGGGGTTGGATGGTTTGGGTTGAGTTTCTCGAACGATTTCAAGTCTAGGTCCGGGTTTTGGTACGAGATCGGGATGGATTTCCCAAACAAATTTGACTTCCGTTGTAGAGGCTTGGCTTCCCAAAATGTAATCGGAGGGTGGAGGGGATTTTGAAACATGGTTGGGCTAAGAGGTTGTCTTATGTAATATTGTTGTGATATTTATTGGTAGTAAAATTGTTGGGGTTTGGGTTGGGACGAAACCATAGATGGATCAAGTTGTGGTCGGTAAGCCGACGAATCCAAGTGACGCACATTTATACGCGATTTGTTTCAAGCGATAAATTAAAGGTTGTTTGGATTCATTTTTTGGCGAACAAATATTTAAGAGATTTTGTAGTTGAATGGAGTAGTGGTGTGAATATAATTGAATGCATTGTAATATATATATATATATATATATATATATATATATATATATATATATATATATATTATTAGATTATTGTATTCTAACTAATTATTGTATAAATGTATGAATGATTGTGGCCGAATCATTTTAGATATTTTAAGAAAATGATTTATAAATATTATTGAATTAAAAATAATTGAAAAATGCAATCTCATTTCACTATTAGGGTATTTTAGTCAATTGAAAAAAAATTAAAAAATAAAATTTTCAGATTTTTAAGGATAATTAATTCTCCTGATTTAAAAATTCTGATTATTTTAATCAATTCAAATTTAATTTTAACATAATTTTTAATTATACCGAATCTTGTTCTGTCGGAACGACATTCTATTTAAATGGTGGTTTATGACATTCTTTAAAAAGACATAAACAAGAAAGAAAACATGAAAAAATATATTAAGAAAGAATACACAAAATCAATTCTAAAATAATAATATATCAAATAATTATATTGTATGATTGTGATGCAAAAAAAAAAACATTTCTGAACAATAAGATTCTGTAAAAATAACAAGTGTAATTCTAAAAATAATAATAATAATAATAATAATAATAATAATAATAATAATAATAATTCTAAAAGAATCATTAAATCTAAAGTGCAACTACCATTTAATTCTAATAGAATATGACATTTTAAACTTTGGCGGAATGCATACAACATTTAAAATTAGCACTGTGGGTTGTAATTCTAAAACACTAATTAGGACTATAAAATATGATCATAATACGTAAAGACAATTCTATACAACATGATTTGCTAGTAATGCATACCATATGGTTAAATTCTTTTTTAGGCATTTCAAAAAACATTTCTTTGACATTATCATAAAACAAGCAAAATGGTAAGCATCGATTTCTTAATCGTAAAAATTACCAAACAAAATAGTTCCAAAGAATATATATATATATATTATATATATATATATATATATATATATATATATATATATATATATATATATATATACAAAAACCCATATGAGACACAAAACGTGAGTATAGGATGTTAGAGTGAACTAAAAAATAGTGAAACATAAAATAAATTAGTGCAGTGCTTTTACATATGAAATTAGACCCATTAACACATGCATTATTTTGTGATTTGGTTAATACATGTAACAGCCCGGATCTCCAGGTACCTTCATTTCATATTTTTTTGACATTCTGTGAGGGGACTCGGCGAGTTGGAGGTCGAACTCGCCGAGTCGGGTCGCGGTTTTGGGCGGGGGTTCGCGTCCGGACTCGGCGAGTCCAAGGGATGGACTCGGTGAGTCCGCACTGTTTAATGAAACCCTAATTTCCCGGTCCTAAGCCCTATTTAAAAGACCTTATGGCCCTCATTTGCGGCCACCTTGAACCCTAAGAGCCCCCATACGACTGTGAGCCCTTGTGAGTGTGTTTGGAGGCCATTTGTTCATCATTTTGTGTGATATTGCAAGGAAAGGAGGGAGAGGATCAAGCTTGAAGAGTTGGGGAGCTTGGATCTGTTGCCATTTCATCAAGGGAGTCTTCTTGAGGTAATTTTCAGAGTCAAACTTCGTGTTTTGTATGAAGGAGTACTGGTGGCCATGTATGGTGCTACGAAAATGTATTTAGATCTCAAGAAGGAGTACTGGTGGCCATGTATGAAAAGGGATGTCGCTTGGTTTGTCGAGAGGTGCTTGACTTGTCGGCAGGTCAAGGCCGAGCACCAGCGACCGCACGGTAAGCTGCAACCGCTAGAGATTCTCGAATGGAAGTGGGAACAAATCTCTATGGATTTCATCACCAAGTTACCGCGAACGACGAGAGGAGTCGATGCGATTTGGGTGATCGTGGATCGGCTGACAAAGAGCGCTCATTTTCTAGCCATTAGCGAGAGCTCTTCTGCGGAGAAGTTGGCCGAGTTATATGTGAGGGAAGTAGTATCTCGGCACGGGGTGCCGATCTCGATTATTTCGGACTGCGACGTGCGTTTCACTTCCAGGTTCTGGAAGAAGTTCCATGAGGAGTTGGGTACTAGGTTACATTTCAGTACGGCATATCATCCTCAGACAGACGGTCAGAGTGAGCAGACAATTCAGACACTCGAGGACATGCTTCGGGCATGTGTGTTGGACTTCGGAGGGAGCTGGGACACCTATCTACCTTTAGCAGAGTTCTCGTATAACAACAGCCATCATTCGAGCATTGGTATGCCGCCCTTTGAGCTGTTGTATGGGCGGAGGTGTCGCACCCCCATCTGTTGGGGTGAGGTGGGACAGCAGGTTATGGGTAGCACGGAGATCGTGCTTCAGACGACCGAGTAAATTCAGATGGTCAGGCAAAGGTTGTTGACCGCTCAGAGCCGACAGAAGAGTTATGCAGATAGGCGACGGTCCGAGCTTGAGTTCCAAGTTGGTGATCTCGTACTCCTGAAGGTCTCTCCTTGGAAAGGAGTGATCCGGTTCAGGAAGAGGGGCAAGTTGGGGCCCCGATATATTGGTCCTTTCCGTGTGATCGCGAGGGTGGGCCGGGTAGCCTACCGTTTAGACTTGCCAGCAGAGTTGGGACAGATTCACGA